CTGTCCAAATCTCTTGCTCATTACTTTGTGTTGTTTGTGTTCTTATTGAGTTAAAATCCTTGTACATTCTGGAAATGAGTCCTTTTTCAGTCTGAGGTCTGGCTTTTCGTTTTCTTAATGGTGTCTCAAAAGAGTGAAAATTTTTCATTTGGATGAAGCCCACTTTGTCAATTTTGTCTTTTAAGGTTAGCACTTCTCGTATCCTGCCTAACGCATTTTACACTGCCCCAAAGTCTTGATTTTCTCCTATAACTCTTTTAGTTTTAGCTGTTATGTCTAGATCTGATTCATTTCAAGTGAACTTTTTCATATGGTGTGAGGTAAGGGCTGAATTGCATTGTTTTCTCTTACACATGTCCCTGTGTTCTAGCACCATTTTTGAGAAGACTATCCTTTTGCCGTTGGACTACTCCAGTGACTTTTTCAAAAATCAGTTTTATGGGTCTGATTCCTGTAGCTTCATATGAAGTCTGGAAATGAGGTAGTATTAGTTCTTCACCTTTGTGTTTCTATTTTAAAATCATTTTGCTATTCTAGTTCCTTTGACTTCCAAATAAATTTTAGAATCAGGTTATTAATACACACACACACACACACACACACACATCTGCTGGGATCTTCATTGGGTTTGTATTGAATCTGTAAATCAGTTTTGGGTGAATTGATGTCTTAACAAATTAGTCTTCCAATCCAAGAACATTGTGTAATTTATTCAGGTCTTCTTAAATATCAGCAAGATTTTGCAGCTTATCGTGCAGTATCAGGTGTCTCCACAACTACCTTTATGCTTAATGATTAGCTGGCTAGAAGGATTCACAGGACTCAGAACTTGTTATACTTGTGGTTATTGTTATGCCAGTGAAAGATACACAATAAAATAGCAAACAGCAAAGTGTGGAGGACACCAGAATGTCCTTCTGTCTGTGGAGTTGCACAGATGTATTTAATTTTCCCAGCAACAAAGCATGACCACACTTGCAAAGTGTTGCCAACAGGGAGGTTCTGCTGGGTTTGGAGATCTATTGGGGGGTCCGTCATGTAGGCATACGGTGTCTGGGAGGCTGGCCTGAGCGGCTTAGACATCTACTGAGATATTTAGATGCTGCTTCTCCTTTATGCTGTTAGCGTGGTAAATTGCATTGATTGATTTTTGAAAGTTAAACCTCGCATTTCTGGAATAAAGCCCACTTGTTCAAAAGATTTTATTGTTTTCATCTATTGCAGGATTCAGTCAGCTAATCTTTGTGCAGAGTTTTGTGCCTGTGTGCAAGACTACCGTGCTTGTGCTGTGTTCTAGATGGTGCCTCCCCGCAGAAAGCGGGTGATCAGTGGCCTCACCTCCTTTATTGCTCTTCTTTCAGGTGTTACAGTCCTATGCTGCCCATTCTCCAGTATCTAAAAACGCTTGTTTCATATGTTTTGCCCCCTTTTTCTGCTCATTTGCAGTGGTAGGCAAGTCTGATCCCATTATTCTGTCATTTTGAAAGTAGAAATTTTTAGATAAAAATAATTTTTGAAAAACAAAAACAGATAACATTACTTTTATAAGAATGTTCAAGTTGTTTCAGTAACCATTGAATAATTTTAAATCTTTATTTTAGCACAATATATGAATTTGTGGGCTGAATTTCAGTCTAGAGTTAAGGTGAGTTTTTCGTGTGTTGCCTCCTTAAGTATCATATTTCCAAAAACGTTCATCTAACCTAATAAGTATGTGTGTGTGTGCGTGTGCCCGTGCACAGTATGGGGAGTTCAGGACTTCAGGGAAGTGACAGAGCTGGTGTGACCATATCGTCCTAAAATGCATCCTTTGTGCCAACTGTCACTATGAAATCTTATCCTTTGGGAAACTATCTTCCTACTCTACCACTCAGTTAAAGTGAGAAAGACCTTTGTTTTGCAACTTCAAATTGAACACATTTTGTTGGAGGTCAAAGTTGCCTGTTCTGACCTCCAGCTATGCTCATGCTTTGCCAGCCCTGTAACATCTCTCCCCCTCCCCACTTTAGAGTCAACTAGGCTGGGGTTTAAATCTTGGCTTTGCATTTTCTAAGTATTTAAAGTTTACATACAATCCTGTTTAACCCTTACAACAACAAATAAAGAAAGTGTTAATAATGCCTTTGTCAGACAAAGCTACTGAGGCTTGAAGAGTTTAAGTAACTTGCCCAAGATCAAACAGTCAATGAACTTACAAGAATTTAAAATTCATTTTCTACCTGGTTCCAAAGTTCTTTCTCTTAAACTGAATCTCCTCTGCAGTCCTGCCCCACTCTGAGGGTGAACTGGCTTTTTATGCCACCACCACTACCATATTCAGATAAAAAGCTAGGGTCGGTGAGCATTCCATTAAAGTTTCTCATTTGCTAATCCATTTTTCTGAGAACTTTTACAGAACTTTGTGAATTGGTTGTGTACACACACACACTTATTTTGCATGACTAACACCAATTTCGCATATATAATTTTTTTTT